ATACAGACTGAAAATATAAAATATTTTGGGATCCTTCCCGTCCTAAACATTGATTGCAACTAACTTGATCGCAAAGTGAACTCAACTTCAACCTCGTTCTATTCAATTCAATCCTCACGTATTACTAAGCATGGCATGCAATAATGTCATTATCCTCCGCCCCTGCTGCAGGGGAAGCCTAATCGGTTGTCTCAAAACATCTAATCCTCCAGTCCGTTCGTCCATCCGGAATATCTAATACCTCGTAGATAGCCCTGTACTCCTTCGTCCTGAAAGGACTGAAATTGAGGTCATTTTCTTTTTCTAACTGAAACTCAGAAAATAGCGACTAGTCAAAGAAAAATCAGTTGCCTAGTTTTGAAAGCGGACGTGGTTTGAATTTTAATCTCTACTAACATTAAAATTGGATGCTACATGATGAAATTCGATGCGCATTCGCCATTTCTGCGTTCATTCCCACTTCCATAGGAAGTGAAGTTCTTTTTTTTTAGTTACAAATACAGAATTTTATTCAATAAAGAACATACCTCCTTATATATAGTAGTTAATTAATTCGCTGGTGCGATGAAATAAATAAATAAATATTCTCTGAGGCTATTGTTGGCGGCTTGTGAAATTTGATAAGTAAAATTTATTCTCGTGGCGGCATTTAGAAATAAGATCTGTTCTTTTGCTTAGTAAAAACGACTTCTTAGCTCTAATTAGATAAAGTTTCTCTGTGAGGCACAAGTGGCACCGCTTGCTTTTGTTGTTGTAGACCGGAGCGGTCGCTAAAATACTCCAGTTACGTATGGTGCACGATCCTCACAGTAGAGAGCGCTATTTATGCAATAGCGAAAATCAGACCCCTGAAAAAAATCAGGCCTGTACGGGATTCGAACCACTGACCTCTGTGATACTAGTGCAGCCCTCTAACAATTGAGCTAAAAAGCCAACTGGGAGCAGGTTGTTCAGTTGATTCGTAATAAACCCGTGATGATAAATCAGATATGATGAATAATCAATGGCTGGAGTAAACCCTACGGTTTACGGATGAGTAATCAATGGCTGGAGTGAACCCTACTGGCTCATGCAGTTTTGTTAGTCTTTGAAAAATTTTACTCGTGCTTATTTTTTCCAAATTGCACGAGAAAAATCATGTGATTACCTATACAAACGCTCAATACTCCTAATTGGCACTAAAGAAAACCGAGCCTTCATCAGCTCTAGACCGACACTGCATTTCACTTGCCGATGATTAGGTTGCCGGTTGAAGTCTTTGTCCCATCATCAAAGAATATAAATTTATCATTTGGTCAACAAACACGGAAATTCGAGCTACGTTATACGCCATCTTTCTCAACCGAGGAACACGTTTTTAGCGATTTTCAAATTACGTGCTATTTTCCTCTGCACGTGCAGTAACATATATGCTTGTAAGCGTCGATCATTATTTTGTTTCAATTATAGTGGGTTGTTTCATTATTCCTATATATTAAGTTAGTTAATCGGCTATTAGTTTTTTTTTTTGATAGATTCTCTACATTAGGTTCGTAGTTGAAACTAGCCTGAACCTTTCATCTTTATTAGATCTCTGTTTCTTTTAGCAATTTGTTTGTCTCAACCGAATGACTCTCAATAACTGCAAGGAGTTATTCTTAGTTATATTTTTTGTATTATCCTGATTTATGACTTTCAGGCAGGACTCTATGAGAAACAAGTTCGTATCAGTTACTTTCCTATCCCACAAGTGGTTGAAAACAGATCATGGAAGTATCAAAAGTTACGAGGCATTTTTGCTTTTGACAATCGAAATTTGTTTGCACTGATGTAAAATGTCAAACAATGGCAAAACCATCATCGATACGGTTACATGCGTAATTCGGTTTGGAACGTTTGAAGAAAGAAAGAGCAGTCATCTAGATCGATATGCAACTAGAACTATTCTAAAACTTTGTCTGCCCTCCCATTAACAATCCTGTTTTTTCCACTAAATGTAAACCGACTGCATTTGCGTCTCAGGGGGTAAGAGCTACTGATCATTTAAAAACGATTTTTTTGGTGACTGGAAATCAGTTTACGGTAATGTTGAGCATTTATCTACTTTGAATTAACCATTCATAACCGCGCGCACAAGAGGGAGGTATAAATTAACTCGTTCTGATTGGTGCGTAACATTTACTTACTTTTGTTTCCGCTCAGTGTTGTTTCGTGCTCGCAAGTTTCATCCAGTTGCATATTTCTTCTTCTCCTGGCAAAGTTTGATAAAGGTAATGTAGTGGACACTAAGTAAACGAATTATTAAGATGACATTAATGATAATGATAACTTTGTAGGATTAGTTATTTATCATCTTAGTCCACGACTCCATTTGAATCTCCGCCTTTGAGGAAACCAAATTCGCCACAAAAGGCGCGCCTACTACATTCGGCGACAAAACTGTTTACATATTGATCTTTTCGACCACTGTTACTTCAATCTAATATATTTTTCCCCAGTTAAGTAAACCTATTCGCCCCCTCTCCCCTCAAACAATGTTGCATTGTGATTCCGTGATCTTTTAGCCAACACTGAATGGATAAGGGGGTCTGTTAATGATTTAGAGTGTGGGAAAATTAGGACTGTTACCCTTCACATAAATAGAACTCTTCAAACATAATGTGTCAACTGATTTAAACGCTGATTTTAGGTCAACTTATGTCTAAATGATGGCTTTTTACAACTGTGGTCTTCTGCTGACTGTTTCTGCCAAACTACAGTTGATTCAAAGTTAATCCATGTTTTCCTCAAAGAGGAGATAAATTAACTGTCACTGCGATGAAGCGTGGGCTTATTTCGTGTTGCCATCCATTTAGTGGAGTATGCTACCAACCAAACCCAGGGGATTCGGGATCATCTATTTTCATTCTTTTCACAGTTGTTACAGTGTTTCCTTCATTCAAAATAATCCGAAACTTTGTCTGAACAGAAAAGCTA